CCCCCCACAGGGCACTCACTTGTACAAAGGGGTGTCCAGTCTCCCTCCGGCCCCCCCAGAGCCTGGGCACTGTTCCCTTCTGGAAGCTCCCCTCCTGGTGCCTGACTTTCAAACAGTGAGCAGGCAGTCTCCTGTCGCTAGCTCCGTAGTCGCCTTGACAAAGGGCACAACACATGAGCCACACACAAACCCGCATGATCTAAGCACTGGAAGGAGGTCAGTAAGGAGACACCAGCTCTCCCTTATCAGACCGGCAACCGCTAGAGGGCTTGGCCGCAGCCTGCGACAGGAGGGCGGGCGGTGGGCGCGTGGCTGAGGGAGGCTGAGGCTCGTGGGGACTCCCAGCCCCCGCCCCTCGGCTCTGACCACCGGCCCCCATGCCTCGCCAGGCACAGCTCCGTGCTCCGGGCAGGGCTGCCTGAGGAGCAGGTGCCAGAGGTCAGAGCAGGGTCGGAAGGTGGGGTGAGGGGCGGGGTGGGAGGTGCTGTCCCAGGTGGTCTGACCCGCTTGGCGGCCTGGGTTTGTGGCTTAAGAATATCTTTCCAGCCTGATTCTCTTGAGGTCAGAAGAGAATTGTCTTGGGAGTTTGTATTTTTCAAATCCGACCCTGTGACTGTAAACACTGGGTCCAGCCTGGCCTGGGCGAGGGCTGGACACGGGCCCTGCCTGCTGCTCCAGAGGGAGACCCACCGGCCTTCAGGCTGGGGGGGCAGAAGGGGACAGAGGGGCTGAAGGGGGCTCAGGGCGGGGCTGGTGTGGCCGAGAGGCTGCTCGCCCCAGGGCCTGCCTGTCCACCGCACCAGCTCCTCCCGGACCGAAAGAGACTGCTCAGCACCAAAGCCGAGGAGGGACACTGGGCACACAGGTACCGGAGCCAAGTGCAGGGCCTGGACTGCATGTCACGGGCGTGGCCACACGTGCCCCCTGCCCACAGCGGTGCCGCGGTGCTCTCACCCACCTGGCACCGAGTCATCCTGGGAGGTGAGGCCCGACGGGCTGGATCCCAGTTCGAGCACCTTCCACGTGTCCCGGAGGGAGCTGCTGGCGAGCGAGGAGGACCCCTGGCTGCGGTGCCCGGCGTCCGGGCAGGCTCCCCGAGCCTGTGGCCGTGGGGACCGGTTCTCTTTCTGCCGAGCCGGCAGGCAGGCCGCTGCGGGGAGTCTGTGCTGCCTCTACAGAGGAAAGAACGAAGGCTCGTCCTGGAGGCCCCCTCCAGCCCGGAGGAGACAGGGGCTCCGTCCGCCTTCGCGGGCGGCCTGTGGGGAGACGGGAGGGCCGGGGGGCGGGGGGGGAGCCCGGGAGGATGGCCCAGCCGACGCCTCTGGCCGGTGGTCTGGAGGGAAGGCACCTGTGGGACCCCACTCCAGGGGTATGAACAGGCAGGGCCGCTGTGGCCCGGGGCCCAGCCCCGCCCTTGCCCCGGGCTCTGGCTGGACACGCTCTCCAACCTCCCAACGAGGACCCGCCCCACGAGGACTGCCCGCCGGTGACAGCAAGCGCTACGCCGGAGACGCTCACCCCAGTCCCACGTACCTGGCGGGCACCCTGTCTGCGGACGGGCGGCGCCCCCCGCACCTGGCTCTCCCCCGAGCATTTGGAGGAAGGCTCCTGCAGCGGGCTCCTAGCGTCCTGCACAGAAACGCACGTGAAAGGGGCTCCCGCAAAGCCAGGAAGAAACTCCGTAATGGCGGGCGGGCGGGAGGAAGGGACTGACCCGCGTGGCGGCAGCCAGAAGGGAGGCCCGCGGTGCCCACAGCCGGATGGACCAGTCCCCCACCCCGCAGCTCCGCTCCCCCTGCGCCCGCTTAGCGCTCGGCCCACCTCGTGCCCCCCAGCAGCGAGCCAACTTGGAATCTCGTCGCCTGCCGCCTGCTCCCTCCAATTCGAATCCATTTAAAAGAAACTGGAGCTGAAACCAGTTTGGCTCAGTGGTAGAGCGTTGGTCTGCGGACTGGAAGGTCCCAGGTTCAATTCCTGTCAGGGGCATGTACCTTGGTTGCGGGCACATCCCCACTAGAGGGTGTGCAAGAGGCAGCTGGTCGATGTTTCTCTCTCATCGACGTTTCTAGCTCTCTATCTCTCTCCCTTCCTCTCTGTGAAAAATCAAGTATATATTTAAAAAATAAAAATAAAAAACTGGAAAGAGCAGCTACACACGGGGGGCAAGTATCTGCAAAGCGTCCACAGGTCAGCCGGACCAGAACTGCCAGCACTCCGTGGTGCAGGCAGAAACCACCCGCCACATGGCTCGGAAGTGGGACGTGGGCCTGTGAACCAGGTGGTCACGGCTCGATTCCCCGTCAGGCACGTGCCCGGTTGCAGGCTCCATCCGCAGTGTGGGGTGTGCAGGTAAAGCTATAGAGCGTATGCATGATCGACTTTATAATTTTCATAAACAGGAGGGAACAGTGAAGTGTTATGGGTGACTGTCTCAGTGCTGAAGGCTTTAAGATTGTGTTGTTAGGGAAGAGATTGCCGTATTCCGACGTTTCTGTGATGGAAACGTGACGCTTAGGCCATCAGTACGAGCTGCTGGGCATGCTCAGTGAAGGAGGTACCTGCGCGGTGACAGGGGGCTGCAGCTGTCCCAGAGGCGGGCCTGGGCCAGGGCGCTTCCGGGCCTCGGGGCTGGGGCAGGGGTGACACGGTTTCCCTGAAAACCAGATGAGAAAGGGTTGGTCCGTCTCACGTGGATATACACACGTCCCCTTCAAACCCAACCCTTCTTTCACCGCAAGCTCGGGGTGCACGGCTGTGAGCTGTGCACAAGCCCCCACATTCCCGTGGCTCCACAGCCCAGGGACAGACACACAGATGCCTCCTCACAGGAGCAGAGGTGATGGCGGTAGCAGCCGCCCTGGCAAGGTGCCCAGCAGAGGCTGCGAACGGCTACCGACAGGGATGGACGCCAGGAGCAGCTCAGAGGGCCTGGGAGTTTGGCCAGATTGGGGGCTGGAGGGCAGGACCTGCTGAAGGTGGGACGGACTGGGCTCCTCGGTAGTGGGTGGCGGGTGGGTGTGCTGTGGGGTTCAGGGCAGCCATTCCATTGACAGAGAAGAGAATGGGTAGGAGTTTACTGGAACCAAACTGGCAGCAAGAGCTCCAAAACAGCGGCTTCTGTGCACTGGGATGGGGCGGGCGGGGAGGGTCACACAGAGGTGGGAGGGGACCGGAGGTCGGAGGGAAGGTTGGGGGTGCAGGAGCCCTCACAGGATCAGGTGTGCTCGGGGCCTCGTCACGCCAGGGGGTGTTAAGGTAGATGCACAACAACAATGGGCAGAGCTGGTTCCAGGCAAAGACAAGCCTTTTCCTGAAGAAGCTCCTGCCTGGGCCTGACCACGCTGAGCACGCAGGGCGTGGTCCCATCGCATGGACGCTGCCGAGCCCTCTGCCCGGCTGCAGCCTGGAAGGACCCTTGACCTCCTGTGCCCAGTGTCGGGCGGCCTCATCGCAGACAGGGACCAGCCAGGGCGGGGCCGAGCTGAGGCCCCACCAAACACCGCCGGCGCAAGGAAGCAACAGCCTTTCAGGGGCGAGATGAGGACCTTCCATCCCATGAGGGGACTCTAAAAGCTCCCCAAAGCAGGGCTGCTCAGCCGAGCTGGAGTGTGCAGTCAGAGCTGCGCTAGAAAAGGCTACAGGAACCCGGCTCGGAGAGGCCAGAACCAAAGCCTGGGACCAGGGCTCGGCTGCTCCGTCTGCTCCCCGTCCCGCCGAGCTCGGAGCCACCCCTCCCGTCTGTCCTCAAAGGCCCTCTAAGGGCCTCGGCCAGAGACCCGGCTTTGACCCAGGGAGGCCCGCAGGAGCGTCGATCAATGAATCACCTGCCCCATCCACGGGCTTAAAACGAATAAGGACATCAGGTGTGTCCGACAGCTTTGACCACAGCTGCCACTCAGCCTGACGGACTCCTCGGCCTCGCAGAGAAGCCGGGTGAACTAAGAAGCCGGCGGGAAGACAGCTGACAGAGTTCACAAGTTACGAAACGAGGTGGGTTTCGGCAAAGGCTGTCATCAGCACTGCCCCAGGTTGGGCGGGACAAAGCCCCCCAATGATCCCCCAACGTTAAAGGACCCCAAACAGTCCACTCTATTTACAACCTGTTTGGAAAAATTTCATATAATTTTTTTTGGTCCAATTAGAAGAGAAAGTTTACTAGAAAGTTAGAGGGAGAAGAGTGAGCCCGTGGGGCTGCATGGGCTCAGGAACAGTCCCAGAGCAGAAGGGGCCCTCGGAGCGCAGGCAAAGGTAAGCGCCTGGGGCAGGCGGCGAGGGAAGGGCGGCGAGCTCCCGAGAGGGAGGGCCTGTTTGGAAAAACGTTAAGGACCAGGAAATAAGTTTAACGGAAACACCCACGCCAGCTGCTGAGGTGGCTGTGCTGCCCCTGAGGCCAGCTCCCGGCCCGTCCTAGATGCAGCCCTACTGAGTGGTGCCGAGACACACCCTGAGCCCCACACACAAACTCACATCCCAGGACAGGAGCACATCTGGTTAGTCCGGAAGGTTCTACCAAACCCGGAGAGGAGCTGGAAAGGTGAAGGCCCAGTCCCGCCCCACAGGGACCTTCCTGCCGGGGTGTGTGGGCCTCGGTGCCCCGGGACACCTGAGGTTAGCCTGTGCCCTCGGGGAGGACGGCACCTGAAGCCCGGCTAAAGGTCAGACAGTGCCTCCCAGACAGACGTGGAGAGGGTGATGGCGCAGCCCCCGGAGCGCCCCCTGCAGCCGTCCTGGGAACTGGGAGCAGCGATCTGTCCCGTGAGCCTGTGTCAGGCCAGACCTGAAACCAGGAGCATCAAGTCCTGCCTGAGCCGCTTCTGCCCAAAGGAAAACACTGCGGGGAGGAGGAAACAGATGGAAATTGGGCGAATAAGAAATCCTAAAACCTGACCCGCTCCTGAGGGCCTTCCTGGGTCAAAGAGGCTGCGGGCAGCGAGCTCGGCCTGTTCTACCTGCCGGGCTTCTGGGCCTGGGTTGCCTGGGGCCAGCCCTGTGCACACGCCAGGTGTGGGCGACCGTGCTCCGAAGGGGGCGTTTAACGGAGCTCTATTTAATTTGTCAGAAAAATACAGAAATTGACCCAATGTGTGTCTTTTTTCCAAGTTAGCACGGTATAAAATAATCTTTGGTAATAGTTCATTGGTTTAATTAAAACAGACGTGACTTCCGAGTGATCAGAATTCGGTCCCACCTGGGCCTCCCCCTCTGGGGAGGGGGGCCTTGTCTCCCAGGTGCTCGTGCGGTGGGTTTCTTACAATATCCCAAGAAAAAGAATTTTCCGAGACTCGCACGGAAGGATGAGGTATGGCAGAAAACTATTTCCGGTCCTGGCTGGCTTGGACTAGTGGATAGAGCATCGGTCCTGGGTTCGAGTCTGGTCAAAGGCATATACCTCGGTTGCAGGCTCAATCCCCGGCCCTGGCCAGGGCTCGCGTAGGAGGCAACCGATCGACGTGTCTCTCCCACATAGATGTTCCTCTCTGTCTCTCCCCGCCCTTCCACGCTCTCTGGAAACATCCTCGGGTGAGGATGAACCGAAAAGAAAGCAGCTTCATGTCGGAGGAATTAACCCCCCGAGTTTCCAGAGCCCCACCCCCGTCTCCTGTAAAAGTGCAGCGGGGCTTCGGTCGGGCTGGGCGCAGAGCAGGGGCCTAGCGGTCCGTCCCCCCTGCACTCTCCAGCGGCAGCGCTGTGTCCCGCGGCCGCCGCCAGCCTATCGCTGGGGCCGCGGGACACGTGGCTGTGGAGGGCACAGGCGGGAGCAGCCCCGTCCCTGGACGAACGGCTGAGACGACGAAATCGGAACGCTCTATCGGCTTCACCTGAAACTGCTTTTGCCTTTTCTGCCCAAACTGTTCAGACGAGAAAGGCCCGTTTCTCATGGGAAACCCTGGTCTCCCTCAGCTCATCTGCATGCGATGGACAGAGGGCTTCACACGGGCACTGACACTTGAAAACTCAGGTTCGTGGCCACAGAAACAAAGCTTCTCTAACATGGACCCCCTCCCCACTATTTCTCGGGAAAGCCAGCCCTCCCCCCACCCCGAGAGCCGCGGGCGGCGGGCCGAGGGCCTCCCCTCCGGGAACGGGCCACTTGGTTCCGGGCTGCGAGTTTCTGTGGCCACTCCAAGCAGGTGATGAAAAGCAAATACGTGCAGGTGAGTGCAAACAGGATGAGGGTTCTGGCGAGCTCTTTGCAATCATGGTCTGATGCCTACGTACACAGTTCCCGGAGCCTCTGGGTAACGACACCCCGAGAGTCTAACTCGGGAATGAAGAGGCGCACGCTGACGTCTCGATCCTTTCCAAAGGGAACAGACGTCACAGCACTGCTCCTGGACACAGGCATGCTCATCCGCCTGCTCGTTACCAAGCACCACAGCGTTGGGGGTCTCCGTAGAGCCATTCTGGGTCTCCCTAGGCCACGCCGAAGCGTGTTTACGAAAAAGCACATTTCTAGAAACCACAGAAGGCACCTGCTAGTCTGTGAGTCCACAGCAGCCACCGCAAGACGGCTTACCACTGCCTACTTCCCGGAGCGTGATTAAAGCCACGAAGGAGGGCGGGAAGTGCTGCCACCTGTTTCCGTCCACAGGGCCTGAGTGGAGGGGGAAGAGCATCATGTGCCCGGAGAGAGGCCCAGGACGAACGGGAGGACGGGCGGAGGCGGGAGAGGCGCCATGGGCGAGGAGAGGGGTTGGTGGAAAGGCGTCCGTGTGGTCCTGTCCGGACGGACATGCGTTTCCTTTACGACGTGCCCACCAGCGCCCGCGCACGTGATCAGGCTGGTTCTGTCCGAAGGACCAGGTTTTCTCGGATTCTGGTTTGCTTCAGACAACAGTCGGTGAGCGTCTTTGCCTTTAACCGGCTGGGAAAGCACGCGGGCTGCTGTACCAGCGGCTTCTCCGTGCTCGGGGCCGGACGCCCCGGGTTCCTGGGAGGTCTCAGCATCCCCATGTGCAGCGGGTCACGGAGCCCTACTGTTCACGTGACGGGTGATCCTGTTTGACCACGTGTTTCAGGAACCTTTGGGTATTTTTGAAAACTTCCCAAATATCACATTCTAAATAGTCTTTTTGACCTGAAACAAACTTTGAAAATTTCTAGAGGGCCCTGGAACATTTCACAAGATTTGCTACGGCAAACCAACCCCCCAGAATGGCCCTCGTGTGCGCTCTCTACAAGAGGGAAGGAGTAGCCTGTTTGATGCCTGAAGTGACGGGAGGAGCACCAGGTAGGAGGCTCTCGGTGCCAAGTCTGTGCACACAGTGTCCAGAATCCCGGGCAATCCTGGCAGTGGACTCCGTCCTGGCGCGATGTCGCCCCCCAGCACGCGCCTCAGAACGAAGCTCGATTCCTGCGGGCACACCGCCTCGAGCGCTCAGTCCAGACAGCGTGCAGCGGGGCAGGCAGGTGCTCCCTCAGAGGGAGCCCGGAGCTAAAGGCGGGTGGGACCCACAGGACGACTGTGTGGGGCTGCTTGGACCCAGGAAGATGATGTTTTTACAGTGTTTTTGTTTGAAACGCCGCTGATTTAAAAACATGGTTTGTTTTCCCGTAATTAAGGAAACCTTTTTCTCTGAGCTTCCTAGGACTTAGAACTTGGTGAACCCACACTCTGTGGACACGGATGAAGCACTGGTCCCTCTCCCCACCGAGGGCTCGGCGGTGGGAAGCGTGGTGAGCATGCCCTTCTAGGCAGCAGGCCCAGGGCGAAGACGCGCAGGAGAACACGGAGTGCAGCCGTGACCGGCAGCTGTAAGCAGGAGGGACAGCTGCCACCAGGGAGCCGTGGCCCTGGTGCCCTGCCTGCAGCTCCCAGCTTCCCTCGCGGGGCGTGAGGAAGGGCTCCCAGCAGCAGCAGCAGGAGCCGCAGCGCAGCTGTCTGGGGCCCGGGAAAGACTCGCCCTCGTCCAGATGGACAGATGAGGGTGGATGGATGGATGGGACAGCAGGCACTGCCGAGGCTCAGTCCTGGCTGGGCTCTCCCGCCACAGAGTCCCAGCAACTAGGCCCCGGCGAGCCGGTCGCTGCTCTCGCTCTGATGTGAACAACCAGCCAAGTTCAATAAGATGAGCCTTCCTCTATGAACAAATTAGTGCTACTAACATCACCTTCATCAAAAACAGGTGACTTTAAGGAGGAAATTTCCCTCAGCCAAAGTTATAATGTGCCAGGCTCCAGCTCTTGGCATTGTCTGTGAGGAAGTTATGGTTCACCCACATGCTGCTCTGCACACGTGGAATTGGAGTGAAACAGTGCAGAAAGGACTGAGCCTCCTGATCACAGAGAGGGACACGCCCCAGGGCTGCTGAGCAAACCTGAGGTTCCTCACTCATGGACACCCAGCCTATTTCTTTGTCTTGCCCATTCCCCACAAATTGCTGGCTTCTTTGTCTTAATCTGTCTTGCTATCAATTTAATTCTTAAACCATTCAGAAGTTAAAGGGTAGGGGGAAATTTCCCTGCCTAACAGGAAGGCGGGTGATGGGTGGATGGACGGATAGGTGGATAGGTGGATGGGTGGATGGGTAGATGGGTGGATGGGTAGATGGGTGAATGGATGGTGGATGGATGATAGGTGGATGAGCAGATAAGATATGGGTGGGTAGACAAATAGATAAATGGTTGAGTGGATGGATGGATGACGGATGGATGTGTGGATGGTGGATGGATAGATTAGGGTGGATGGATGGGTGGTTGGATGATGGATGGGTGGTTGGATGATGGTGGATGGATGGATGGGTGGTTGGATGATGGTGGATGGATGGATGGGTGGTTGGATGATGGTGGATGGATGGTGGATGGATGGAGGTTGGATGGATGATAGATGAGGCTGGATGGATGATGGAGGGTGGATGGATAGATGATAGATGAGGGTGGATGGATGAATGGATGGATGGGTGGTTGGATGATGGGTGGATGGATGGATGAGGGTGGATGGATGATGGATGGTGGATGGATGGATGGGTGGGTGGATGATGGGTGGATGATGGGTGATGGATGGTGGATGGGTGAGTGGATAGATGGAGGTTGGATGGATGATAGATGAGGGTGGATGGATGATGGAGGGTGGATGGATGGATGATAGATGAGGGTAGATGGATGATGGAGGGTGAACTAGATAGATGATGGAGGGTGGATGGATGGTGAATGGGTAGGTGGACGGGCATATAGATGGATGAGTGGATGGATGGATGAGGGGATGGGCAGGTGGATGGACAGATAAATGGATGAATGGGTCGGTGGGTGGATGATGGATGGATGGGAGGTGAATGGGCACCTCTGATGCTCACCCCGCTGCACAAAGCACAGCAGCTCCAAGGACCAGCGTTGTCTTCTCACACACGGACACGGACTCTGCTCTCCCTCCCTGCCCCGCGCCTGGCCTCCCGGGCCCAGAGCATTTCTGTGCCCCTCCACCCTGGCTCACCTTCGGGCTGGCCCAGCTGGGCACGCAGCCTGTTCCCCAGCTCCAGCAGCTGCTCCTTCTCCCGCCGCAGACGGAGGACCACCCGGGCCGCCTCCTTCAGTTTCCTCTGGAGCCGCTGCACAGACAGGGCCTGTGGGGGCTGCGATCCTGGGCCCTCGGTCCCTGTGGGCACCCCAGCTGCTGGGCCCTGTGAATGAGACCCACATAGCGGAGAGCCCACAAGGAAAGGGGGGGTGGCTGCACCACCTGTCTTGGACAGACTTCCCTGGGGACGGATGCATCCCAGAGAGAGGCCCTGGGACACCTTTCAGTGTGTCAGAGAGAGGCCCTCCAGGTGAGGACAAAGAGGAGCCAGCTGGCACCCACCTACACTTCCAGGATGCCCCAGGACCCTGAGGCTGTGCCTGTGACGTGCCCATGTGGGCCCATGGCCACAGCCTGGGTGCCTGCTGCCCACCTGGCCTACAAGGGCTGGAGGGCCCAGTAGTGCCTGCACAGCCCACCTCCTTCGCCGGCGCCCACCCTGCGCTTTGCCCTCAGCTGGACCAGTGGCCGCCCCTCTCCTGCCCCATCCCGCCCCACCCCACCCTCCCGGCTGCCCTGGCTCCAGGCTCAGCCCCAGGCTCCACCCGCCCTCAGGCTCCTCTCAACAACAGTGCAGAGAGAAAGCAGAGGCCACAGGGGGGTGGGGGGGTGGAAAAACACTCCAGGTCTGAGCCCCAAGTCCTAACCCCATGATGCCAGTCTCCCCACCTGATCACCACAGGTTCCTGCACAGACAGGTGCCCCCAGGGGAGTCTGCAAAGCAAGGGGGGAGCAGCCTCTGCTTCAGGGGCGGGGGGGGGGGGGGGGTGCGGCCTGAGAGGCCGGTGGTGTCCAGGGCCCGAGGGAAACAGGTGGCCTACTTGGCTGGCTGCTGCTGACACCCATGAAAAGCCACAGTGCCTGTCCCGGCCACACGATCTGGGGTGGACACAAGGAACTGCTCCGCGTCCCAGGCAGAGGCCAGCACGCCCTGTCCTGCTCCTTTTCCTGGTGTGCCTTCCAGGCTGGCAGGCCCCGTGCCCTCGGTGCTGGGAGCCGCAGTGACTGCCCACGGTGCCTGGCCTGTGCCCGAAGCTACAGAGGCAGAGGCCCATGGCCCCAAGCCCCGGACCCTGGCCCGTCTCCCCAGGGTGCCGGCTCTTGTCTCTCAGGACCCAGGACACGCACGGGGTCCGGGAAGCTGGAGCGCGGCTCCACGCACAGGCCCCACAGGTCTGGCCCAGCCTGACAGAGCGTCGCAGCCTTCAGCAGGGCTGGGCGGCCGGTCGGGGGTGCGAGCTCTGCGGTTGTGTTACTTAAGTGAGGAGAGAGCAGCCCAAACCGATCCCCAGACCTCAGAGCACTGGGGCCGTCAGAGAAGACACCAGCGGTCTGGGCGGCCAGCGCACTAGGCCCTGGGGCTGCGCCGTGGGGCTGTCGGGCAGCAGGGTCCCTGGGCGTAGGCTCGGCTTCTGGAGATACTTTACGGAGATGACTCTAAGGCGTCTCCACACAGTAGTGACCCATCTAACAATGACCAGACCCCTGGGGAACTTGTGAACACGTGGCCCACGCTGCCAGCCTCAGGCCCCCAAGGCGGCTGGGAAGCGGCTGAGCTGTTCCCACGATGCTCCAGCCCGAGGGGAGCAGCGACAGCTCCGAGGAGGAGAACGCTGGAGGCCGAGGCCGGGCTGAGAGAGGCCCATCCGGTGCCGAGGACCTGGCCCCGCGGCAGATTCCACCTCCTGCAGGCCCCAGCTGCAGCAGAGTCAGCGCTGGACAGCGGACACTGCCCCCCAGTGGACCTGTGCCTCCCTCGGGTGCTGCCTGGTTTCCGGGTTGTCAGGACAGGGCGGAGCCAGCAGCAGGCAGAGGGTGAGAGGCAGGAGAGGCGAGCTGGGCCCCCTGGGCCGGAGGGCCTGGCCTAGAGAAGCGGAGGTGAGGTGGGGCCTGTGCTTGTCTCCTGCAGACGCAGGGAGGGCTGGGACACTCGCCCTTTAGGCCGGCCACCGTTTTACTTCCCGGGAAGGACGACGTTCTCTTCACCAGTCATCAGAGCCAGTTCCCGGGGAGCGGGCTCAGAGCGAACGCCCTGTCCACACGCTCCCTTCCTCCTGCCCGGCCCCGGCCCCTGGATGGCGCGGCCGCCTGTCCGCTCTCGGCCGGTCCCGGCACTGTGTCCTGGGTGCGGCCAGTCCAGAGCCCCCGACATCGTGTCCCGGCAACGGCGACGGGGCCTTCGGGGAGCGGTGTCCGCAGGCGAGGCCGCTCGGACCAGCACTTCCCTTTGTCCCCAGGGCCGTGAGGTGCAGACACTACGGCCAGCAGCCGCCTTCCTGCCTGTGGCTGTGGGCGGGCAGCCAGCTGACTCCCGGCACAGAGCCCGCTGCTCCCTCCGCCTCTGCCCGTCTCTCAGGGGCGCCTCTGTGCCCGTGTCTGAAGGGCCGTCCTCTTCTCCATCCTGTGTCCCTGACGGACTGACGGCGCCAGCACTGCCTGCGGGTTGGTCAGCGGCCCTGTGGGTTCCCGCCCCGTCATGTCTCACACTGGAAGGCGTCACCCACCCTGGGCCCTCGCAGCAGAGCGGGCGCAGGTCTGCAGGGCTTCTGGCGACGGGCTCCATGTGCCCTGCTCTCCTCTGTCCCAGCCGCCCGGGCATCCTCTCCCTCGGCCTTCTCCCCACCATCTGGGCTGCCTCCCAGCCACAGACACACACAGCCGGGCAGCTGTGGTGGGAACCTGGTGGCCTGGTTTGGGCAGAGGGACTGGCCACTTAGGCTTTTTGTGCCTCAAATTTCTCATCCAGGAAGTGACCTCCCCAAGGTCACAAGACGCTGGGACTGAGAGGAGGGGACGCAGGCCGGATGAGGCCACCCCCTTGCTTGTAAGTCCTGCTATCTGCAGTGTCTCCCTTCGCTCTGACAAGGGGATCAGTGACAGGAACTGCAGGGCGAGCAGTTGAGAGGGCAGCAGGGGACTAGCCTTAGGGCTGCGGGACGCGTCGCACCTGAGGGTACAGAGGTCTGGGCTCACTCGGCTGACGACAGGTCACGGCAGGGACAGGTCTGGGCCGGCAGAGGGCCTCTGGGAAGGGGCCCCTGCGGAGCGCTCTGTGACGCGGAGCCCTGGCTGGGACCACAGAGCGGACAGCAGCCACGGGTGCAGATCGTGGGCGGGCGCTCACCTGTCTCCCGAGGGCGACGCAGTCCGGAGCTGCGGGCGCCGCGGCGAGATGCTTCTCCAGCTCAGACACCTGCTTCTGCAGCTCCCGCACCTCCAGGAGCACCTGGTCCGCCTCGTGAGCCAGCTCCTGCCGGCCCGCGTCCCCCTGCAGGGGCTGCCACAGCACCTGGGCGTCAGGAGGCCGTCAGGAGGCCGCGGGGAGCGGGCGAGGGGGCGGCTCCGCGACGCGAGGGGAGGGGCAGGCGGAGGAGCGGGCCCGGAGCAGCAGGTAGAGGGTAAGAACCAGCACAGAGCGAGGCCCATTCTAGCCTCAGAGGGTCAAGTGCAGCGACCCTATCAGGGATTCCTGGCAAGTGCCATGCTCCTCGAATGGGTCACACACGAGCTAACCAAGGGGAGCACTGGATACACAGGCACCGTTCATTAAAAAATAAACAAAACCGCCGGGACCCGGTTGGCTCAGTGGATGGAGCTCAAGGGTCCTGGGTCTGATTCTGGTCAAGGGCATGTACCTTGGTTGTGGGCATATCCCCAGTGGGGGTGTGCAAGAGGCAGCTGATCGATGACTCACTCTCATCGATGTTTCTAATTCTCTATCTCTCTCCCTTCCTCTCTGTAAAAATCAATAAAATATATTTTAAAAAATAATAATAAAATAAAATAAAATAAAATAAAATAAACAAAACTGCCGGGACCGGGTTGGCTCAGTGGATGGAGCGTCGGCCTGTGGACTCAAGGGTCCCGGGTTCGATTCCAGTCAAGGGCATGTGCCTTGGTTGCGGGCACATTCCCACTGGGGAATGTGCAGGAGGCAGCTGATCGATGTTTCTCTCTCCACAATGTTTCTAGCACTCTATCCCTCTCCCTTCCTCTCTGTAAAAAATCAATAAAATATATATTTTAAAAATAAAAAAAATAAACAAAACCACGCCCAGGTGAACATGTCCCAAGCCGAGCAAATCATCTGTGGTTCCAGGACAAAGTGAGAGCCCAACCGCGACCTTGCACGGGGTGTAGGTGTGCGTGTGAGTGTGTGTGTGTGCGCCTGAGACTCCACGTGGATGGGCCCGGGAAGCATCGCAGATGTGACCCCCTTGCCCACATGTGCTTACAGAGCTGTGTCCCACGCACAGGAAGTGAAATGTATTTTCACTCGGATTCCCCACGCTGTCCACCGGGAGCACCCGCCCGGCAGAGACCGGCCGGCTCAGCAGGTCAGGCGGTACCTTTTCTCGGAGCCGGGCCACCAGGAAGCTCAGCAGACGCGCCCGGTCTCCCAGCCGCCTGAGCGCCAGCCCCAGCCCCAGGGACGCACCGTCAGCAGCCAGGGCTCCTCCTGCAGAGAGAGGCTCCGCCGTCAGAAAGTCGTCCAGGGCGGCGCAGCTCTGTCTCCACTGCCTCTCCTGCCCCGTCAACGGACGGGAGGAAGAGTGACTGGAGGGCCCGCGGAGAGAGAAAGGGAAGAGCGAGGCGCCTGCTGCGAGGGCTGCAGAGGGGCATGGACTCAGACTCCGAGGACGAGGGGACAGCGGCTGGGAATGGGGGTGAGGGGACAGCAGCTGGGAATGGGGGTGAGGGGACAGGAGCTGGGAAAGGGGTGAGGGGACAGCGGCTGGGAATGGGGGTGAGGGGACAACAGCTGGGAATGGGGGTGAGGGGACAGGAGCTGGGAAAGGGATGAGGGGACAGCGGCTGGGAATGGGGGTGAGGGGACAGTGGCTGGGAATGGGGGTGAGGGGACAGCGGCTGGGAATGGGGGTGAGGGGACAGGAGCTGGGAATGGGGGTGAGAGGACAGCGGCTGGGAATGGGGGTGAGGGGACAGGAGCTGGGAATGGGGGTGAGGGGACAGCGGCTGGGAATGGGGGTGAGGGGACAGGAGCTGGGAATGGGGGTGAGGGGACAGCGGCTGGGAATGGGGGTGAGGGGACAGGAGCTGGGAATGGGGGTGAGGGGACAGGAGCTGGGAATGGGGGGGAGGGGACAGGAGCTGGGAATGGGGGGGGAGGGGACAGCGGCTGGGAATGGGGGGGAGGGGACAGGGGCTGGGAATGGGGTGTGGGGACAGCGGCTGACTTGGGGCTGGGAATGGGGGGAGGGGACAGGAGCTGGGAATGGGGGTGAGGGGACAGGAGCTGGGAATGGGGGGAGGGGACAGGAGCTGGGAATGGGGGGGAGGGGACAGCGGCTGGGAATGGGGTGTGGGGACAGCGGCTGGGAATGGGGGGAGGGGACAGCGGCTGGGAATGGGGGGAGGGGACAGGAGCTGGGAATGGGGGGAGGGGACAGCGGCTGGGAAGGGGGTGTGGGGACAGCGGCTGACTCGGGGCTGGGAATGGGGGCCTGAGCTTGGCAGCTGCGCTGGGGTGACTGTTTAGAAGAAAGAGGGCGCTGCTGGGACCAGACTCTCACCGGGGGCGTCTGCTGTGGTGCCGGCACTGGGCCGGGCGTCTGCGGGAGACGCGGGTGTCTTCGAAGGCTGCAGTGCCTCTCCCAGCTGCTCCTCCAGGGTTTTGAACTTACCCTTCAGATTTCGTATTTCTGCTTCCAGAGCCAGAACATAACCTGACAAAAGCCCCCTGTGAACACGGGCACGGGCAGGGACACACCCTGCGAGGCCCGCATCCCAGGAGCGGCTGCCCCGCCCCGCCCCGTCCGCCCCTCGGTGTCGGCACCCAGGTGCCTCTCCCCATCCCCAGAGCGCCGTGTCCAGGGAGCAGCTGTCCAGGCTCTCAGGGAGTGCTCAGCAGCCGGGAGCAAACAGCATCCAGACGCCCCCACAGCCCCAGGGCCCCCCTGAATGGGGCGGCGTGCTGAACGGGGCGCTGTCCCTGCTCGGAGGTATTGCGCACCCCTCACTTTTCTCTTCCTCTTCACAAGAAGCTTCTATCCTACGCGAAGAACTGACGTGAGACCCTCCCGGAGGCCGTCCACCACGGGACCTGCACCTCTCCGAGCCCAGGGACGCGTCCGGTCTCCCCGCTCACCGGGCGCAGCGTCTGCCGGGGAGCCCGAGGCTGCAGCGTCTCCCGCTGGCTGGGCGGGGGGGAGCACCTGCTCGCTCAGAGCCTCCATCTCGGCCCTCATCTGTGCGACCGCGTGGCGCAGGCTGGCGTTCTGCTCCTGCAGCCGCTGGATCTCCCCGGACGGGAAAGGCGCGCTCGCCTCCTCCCCCTGGTGCGGAGGGGGCCCCTGCACACCAGGAGAGGGGGTGTTATGGTGCCAGCGAGGCCTGGCCCGCCCCGCCGGCTCCCTGCATCCCCTCAAACCCTGCAGCGGCCTTCCTTCCTCAGCTAAAGGCGTGTGAAGCTCTCTTCCTTCTCAGTCTCACAAACAAGACCGTTTTGGGGCGAAGGGGCTCGTCCTTTTCAGTCAAAAAAGCCACGAGCCACCGGCTAGCTGCCTGTGACGTAAAGACGCTGCAGCGAGGCCGTGGGGAAAGGAACCCTGTGCCCTGGGACAGGGCGGCGCCCGCGGCCGCTGGGAGACGCCTGGGGTCCTCAAACAGCTGCCCCGGCTGTGCTCTGCCCCGCAGTGCGTCCAGGGTGGCCCGGGGACAGGTGAGCCCACACGGAAGCAGCCAGATGTGGGCGCCCTCACATGCCCCGTGGATGCCTGAGCCACAGAACAGGACCTGGGGATGGGCTCAGCACGGACAGGGATGAACCAGGAAGGTCTGAGAGGGACAGTCCAGGGCTTAAAGCACCGTCGCCACACACCGGCACAGGGCCCGAGGAAAACAAGAGCCAGGGAAGAGCCAGCGCAGCTCAGGGTTCATAGGGCCAGGGCACAGGTGCAGGCTGTGCTCCCTCCCCAGTGGGGGGCGTGCAGGAGGCAGCCGGTCAGCGAGCCTCTCATCACTGGTGTTCCTCTCCCTCTCCTTCTAACCTCCCTTTCTGACATCAACAGAAATATATTAAAGGAAACAAAAGAACCACAGGGCATCTGCAGAGATGAAATGTACGTCATCCGAAACAAAAACTGACCGTAGGACAGGCCCAGAGCAGATCAGAGAAAAGATGGAGAGCATACACAACCGATGCTCAGACTCAGCACAAGCAGACACAGGAGCCCAGGCCAGTGCCCGGCAGCAGGGGGATTAGACACCTGGGGGCAGGGCGGGCAGGGCGCTCACCGGCACCTCCTGCTCAGGGCTGAGCCCGTGGTCCCTCAGGGCCTGCAGGGCCTGGTCTCTCTCCAGCGTCAGGGCCCTCAGCACCACCTCCTGGTCTCGCAGCCTCTGCTCCGCCTCCTGGAGCTTGGCGGCGATCTGGGGAAAGGCGGACTCGTCACCTGGGGATCAGGAGAGCAGCACCAGCGCCGTCCGCGCCAGTGCCTAAGAGGCAGCCGGAGCGACCCGAGGAGAAGCGCCACGGAGACACGTGGTGCCCGGGCGCCCCTCAGCACCGGGCAGCCGCGGGATCCGGACGTCGCCGCCCTCGCCCACCACCCGCTGCCCCACCTGCTGCGTGCGGTCGGGAGAAACAGGGAGTGAGACACGGGCAGGGCGGTGGCAGGCAGGGACACACTGATCACAGCTCCGCTGTCAGGGCACACGCTCCGTGAGGACACGTTTCCAATGAAAGGGCGGCTGGTGAGCCCAGACGGCTCGGGGACGCCAGGCCGGGGGGGGAGCGGAGCGCACCTGCGCCCTGGCCGAGGCCAGCCCCTGCACCAGCCCCTCGGACTGGAGGTAGTGGTCCCGCTCGAGGCCCTCGCAGCGCCGCTGCCAGTCCAGGCCCAGCTGCACCTTGTCCCGCTCAAGGCTCTGCTCCCTCTCCACCGCCAGGGACAGCTCCCGCTGGTACCTACAGGGCCAGAACCGCACGGTGAGCGTCACCCCGGCCCCCAGGGCCACGATAAACAGGTTTCACACTTGTCAGCAGCCGGCAGAAACCTGCGAGGACAGAGGCGAGACCTCGTGGATCGCACAGCCCAGCCGGGTCCCCATCAGACCGTTACACCATAAAGCCACAAACAAACATGTACACAATAGTTTTCTATTAAGTTAGAAATTAAGTTAGAAATGGGTAGGAATGCCCTAACCGGTGTGGCTCAGTGGATAGAGCATCGGCCTGTGGACTCAAGGGTCTCAGTTCGATTCTGGTCAGGGGCACATATTTTGCTTGTGGGCTCATCCCCAGTAAAATGTTTCTAACTCTCTATCCCTCTCCCTCTCAGTAAAAAATCAATTAAAAAAATATATATATATTTTAATATATTTTATTGATTTTTTACAGAGAGGAAGGGAGAGAGATAGAGAGCTAGAAATGTCGATGAGAGAGAAACATCGACCAGCTGCCTCTTGCACTCCTGAGGCTCCTACTGGGGATGTGCCCGCAACCAAGGTACATGCCCTTAACCAGAATCGAACCTGGGACCTTTCAGTCTGCAGACCGACGCTCTACCACTGAGCCAAACTGGTTTCGGCCTAAAATATATTTTTAAAAAAGAAATCAGTAGTAACAAAATGGTACCTGAAAATCCCCAAATAGAAGGGAATTAAGCAACACCTTTCTAAGTAACCCATGGGCCTGGGGGAGGGGTCTAATGCAGGTTGACAGAAGATCTGATTTTGGGTGGTGAGCACACAGTGCAACATGCAGATCTTGTAACATAGAACTGACACATGAAACTTGTATGTTCATGTTAACCACTGTCATCCCAACCAATTTAACCAAAAAAGGGACCCACAGACCAAAGAACCACCACAGGGAAATCAGGAAATAATTCACGGACTCCTCTGAGGACCCTGAGAGACAGCCCAGCATCACACGCTTGCGTTTCTTTGCAAAGGGGTCGCCCTTACAGTCCAGACTCCACCAGGGGAGCCGCCAGAAGAGCTTGGAGTTCAAGCCGAAGAGACAGAAGGCGTACCCCAGGGGAGCGCAGGTATCGGGGAGACTGAAGACAGAAAGACGGAGAAAATCTCTCTATGTGTTTCTTGTCTTTCTTCCCCAACAGGGTGTGAAAGGGACTCAGTGCCATGACGAGGGCGCCAGGCCGGGTCCGAGGGGACATCACCTGCCCACGTCCTGCTGGCACCGGGCCAGCTGTGCCCGCAGCTGCGCCGTGTCCTCCTGCAGCGACTGGACCTGCAGGTCCTTGGAGGTCGTCTCCTTCGACAGCTGAGCGAGCTGTGCATCCCAGCCGGCTCTCAGAGCGGACGCCTCTTCCCGGAGCCTGGGCAGGAAGGCAGCTGGAGTGGGAGAGGTTCTTGGGCGAGATCTCACACCCAGCAGACACTCGCACACTCACACTCACACCACCTGCACGTACTCATGCACACACTAGCACTCACTCTTACACATGCACACGCACACGCACACGCACACGCACACGCACACACACGCAGGCCTCAGGGAGATGCTGCAGATCATGCCGTCTCCACACTTGCGTCCACGCCAGGGAGACCTCACTGAGAGGAGCAGAGGGACCACCCCACCCAGGCACCCCAGGGACCGGCTGAGCCCCTGCCAGGAGCCGGGCCTGAGCCTGGCTCTCGGGCCATTCTTGCACCCCGCGCCTGCCTTGCACAGCACTCCACGTGGACATTCAGTGTGTATTTCCAAACTGACTAGTAAAATGAGGGTCTATACTGACCTTAAGTTCCCCAGTAAAGTCACCGAAAACCGGGTAAATTTCACAAGACAGCCTTAGGGAGGGGAGGGGAAGGGAGGAGAGGAGAGGGGAGGGGAGGGGAGGAAGCGTGGCAGACCTGGGAGGCCTGGCACCAGCGGGCACACACTCTGTGAGTGACTCGGGCCAGCTCCTCCGCCCACCCACTGTCCCACCGAGTGGATCAAGAACCACCAAGGGAGCCTCAGGAGGCCACTGAGCAGGCTCTGCCTCCTGGTGTCCATGCCGTGGTTCCTTTAAGCAGAAACAGCACTGGCAGAGCCTCCTCAGGAGGAGACAGGCATTCTCGGCAACAGGAGCGCAGAGCTGAGCACGTGACACTGGAAGTGCGTTATTTAATTATCTCCGTGAGCCCGCCAGAGACCGGAGCTCCATCGGCCCAATTACAAAGGTCTCCCTCCGGTGGGCACAGTCCCCCGGGCGCCCGGCGCCCTGGGACACACGTGGCTGGGAAGCCGGGAAGAAACCAGCTCAGAGCCGAAACCGGTTTGGCTCAGTGGATAGAGCCTCAGCCTGCGGACTGACGGGTTGCAGGTTCAATTCTGGTCAAGGGCATGTACCTTGGTTGCGGGCACATCCCCAGTAGGGGGCGTGCAAGAGGCAGCTGATCTATGACTCTCTCTCATCAATGTTTCTAACTATCTCTTTCCCTTCCTCTCTGTAAAAAATCAGTAAAATGTATATTTTTTTTAAAAAAAGGAAAACAAAAAGAAACCAGCTCAGGGAGAAACGGGCCCACGGGTGCGTCTGCCGTGGAAACCTGGCTGGTGGTTCCTTACAAGTAATCTACTTCCCACCCAACTCAGCACACCACTTCTGGGCCCGACGGAACGGAGCTGAGCGGAGACCAAACAGACCCAGCGCCAATGCTCCCAGCAGGGCTCCCAGCAGCCAGCGGGCAGACACCGTCACAGAGGCTGGGTAAACAAAGGGCGCCCTCCACAGGACACAGCGTAACCCAGGGCCGGCGGGCCCTCAGAGCCAGGCTCCGACAGAGGGAGAGTGGGGGCCGGGTGCGAGTGCACGGTGACAGGCTGTCTGGGGAACAGGCTCTGAGGGTGGAGCGTGGTGATGGCCACACAGCAGCGTGCAGTGCTCAATGCCAGAGCTCTCCATTTACCACAAACGGCTGCGCACCTTCCACGCGTATCAACTGCACAATCTCACAGCCGGACTGTCACGGTGTGACCCACGCCGGCCCCCTGGGCCCAGCCCCGCACTCACTTGTCCATGGCGGCGTCCTTCTCCTTCAGGGCATCCGCCTGCCTCCACTCGGCCCTGCGCACCTGCAGCTCCCGGGCCTCGCACTGCGCCTGCAGCTCCAGCACCCGGGCCTCCAGCGCCCGCAGCTGCTCCGCGTGAGCGCCCTTCACCGACGCCAGCACCGCGTCCCTCTCCCTGGCCGCACGGTCGAGCTCCTGGTGCCTGTGAGACGGAGCGTGTGTCCCGAGAGGAAGCCGTGGTGTCCCTGCTGACGGCGGGGCTCCAGGCCAGTGCTTTCCTGTCTCACAGGACACCCTCAGGCACCCAGACAGCTGTGGGGGGCCCGCACAGCCACCGGGCTCACAGCACTGAGTGCGCGAGCGTCTCCCGGGAAGTGGAGCGCGCGCGCTGGGCCTCGGGTGCGGAAGCACAGGCTCCATTCCCTCTCAGCCTCCCAGGCCCGCGGTTCCACGGCCCCTCTGAGCAGGAGGCGTCAGGCCCACGTCAGCCTTTGTGAAGCCCACTGCGCGCACTGCCTCTTCTCTGGCACACGTCTAACGCAGGTGCACGTCACGTGAGTTGCTGCCGGGTGTGGGACGCAGGCAGCCCCACGCAGGCCTGGGAGCCATGGACGTGCCATTTGGTAGAAGAGGCCCCCGAGGAGCAGACAGACGGCCTCTTAGCATTCCTGACTGTATGGTCTTCCTGTGGTTTTGTAAACGTAACGCCTTCATTTAGGAGCAGAGCCTGTGACCGCAGCCAAGTCTGTTCGGTTTCGAACACGTGCCTGCTGCCCGCAGGAGGCGCCATTCTACCGGATAACGCTGCCTGGGGAGGAGCAGGGACAGGAGCGGAGGAAAGGGCAGTGAAGCTTCCACAGCCAAGTGTGGGCTCCGCACTTTAAATACACGTTTGCTGAGTTCAGACAGGGAGAGAGAAATGTCAGTGACGAGGGAGAATCATGGAGCGGCTGCCCCCTGCATACCCCCTACTGGGGGTGGAGCCCACAACCTGGGCCTAGGCCCTGACTGTGACCTCTGTGACCTCCTGGTTTCTGAGTCGAGGCTCAACCACCGAGCCAGGCCGACTGGGCTGCACTTTCACTGTAACGGAAGTGGGTGTGCCTCGCCCTGGCACAGGGGCGTGTCAGAGAACAGGTCAGCTCTCGAAGACAGTATGTAAGGTGCTGGAAATGACATTCATGCTCAGCATTTCAGGTGGTAATTTAAGCGGTTCGGGATGCACACTTGAAAACACAGCGAGCTGAAACCGGTTTGGCTCAGTGGCTAGAGGGTCAGTCTGTGGACTGAAGGGTCCCGGGTTCAATTCCGGTCATGGACCTTGGTTGCAGGCACATCCCCAGTGGGGGGTGTGCAAGAGGCAGCTGATGGATGATTCTCTCTCATCGATGTCGCTAACTATCCCTCTCTCTTCCTCTCTGTAGAAAAAATCAATAAAATACATTTAAAAAAAGAAAAAGCATAGCAAGGGGAACGGGTCTCCCCACCTCCCTGCCCACGCCGGCACCCACGGCGTCCCTGCTGCAGCCCACGCCGCCCCCACGGACACGGGCCAGAAACACTCACTTCCTCCGGAAGGTCTCCTGCTCCGTGTGCAGGGCGAGCTGCAGGGACTGGAGCTTGTCCTCCAGGTCTTTTATCCTGAGGAGAACCGAGTGTGAGCGGAAAGCCGCCGCCGTGGCCAGGCCCCCGGGCCCGGAGGGACCCGCACCGGGCGTCCTTCACGGCGGCGAGGTCCCGCAGCTCCCAGGCAGCTCGCTGCAGCCGCTCCTCCAGCTCCGCCTTGGCCTCCTGCGCGTCCTGCAGGGCCCCGGCCGCCTGGGCCCCGGCCCCTCTCAGCGCCGCCAGCTCCTTGGTCAGAAGCTTCACCTGGAAACATGAAGAGGCTTCAGGATGAGGCTGTGAGCACACCCATCGGGATCGGGATCGGAGGCCGGCAGCTCCCCCCACGGCCCTAGGACAGCACCGCACCCCACGGGGCCACGTGACCCAGCCGGCCAGTGTTCCTGCTTCACTTCCTCACGTGGTGTGAATTCTATTTAGGTCTGGACTGACACAGACAGGTGGAAGCTGAGAGAATGCGGCTGAAATCCTGCACACTCCATTTTAACGTAACCTCTCTGCCTGTTTCCTCGACTAACGTGGGGGACAGAACAGCTGCTGCCCTAACAGCTCCAGTGTGAGCTCTGCTGCCCTGGGGCAGGTGCTGGGATCTGGAACCCTCTCGCACAGCAGGTGGGGCAGGGCCTGCAGCTGGGACTCCCACAGCACCCCCACGGCCTCCTTACAGGAGTGTCCTCCCCTCCCCTGGCACTCGGAAGTCCCCACAGTGGCCGGGTGAGGGTCGCTGTGGGCAGCCCAGCCTTGCGATCTGGATGCCTCTGGCCCTGGGGCAGGCGGGGCCCACAGACTCTGGTGTCTGTGCCAGGAACTGAGACCAGGGATGGGCTCCAGCCACGGAGAACCACAGGGTCCTGGACCCCTGATGGTGAGTGCTGCCCATGGACTGCAGGCCTGGGGGAGGCTGGCAGCAGGGCAGCCTTGCTGACCACTAGTGCTGGGCTTCCGTCCCATGAGCCCCAACCAGGGCTGCTGGGCAGGCCAGGCGTCGCCCCTTTCACCTCCCCTGCACGGCTCCCTCCCCTCAGGCTGGTCCTTGCCTCTGGCCGTGTGGCCTCACCACTAGAGGCCCTGGCAGATGCCGTTACCTTGAGCTCGTGGGTCAGGACGGTGCTGCTCATGCTGTCGGCGTGCAGCCGGAACCCGTGCTCACGCTTCTGCACTTCAGATTCGAACTCCAGCAGCAGCTCCTGGGGGTGGCGGTGGGATGGGAGAGGGTGAGCAGGCGGACAGCCGGACCCAGGGTGCACACAGAGCCTCAGGCATCTCGGAGGGCAGGCCTGGTGGCAGGCCGCCCTGCAGCTGCAACCCCTCGCTTTCTGCTCCTCTGCCTGCACACGCTGAGCTACAGGCAGCCCAGGGCAAGTGTAAAGGCTGAGGACCAGACACGAGCCCTGTCAGACCACCACTCCCAACGGCTTTGCCGAGGGTTCTGGGTCTCCGTGAGCCGTGCTCATGCCCACCAGCCATTCCTCTGACCTGCTGGTTTCCTGCTAGACAGACAGGCAACCGATTGGTCAATCCTACCCCACGCCGCCCGTTACACCAGGCCCTTCCCAGCTTCGCCCACGGCTCGTTCTAAAGGCAGACGCCATAGACCAGTGGTTGGCAAACTCATTAGTCAACAGAGCCAAATATCAACAGTACAATGGTTGAAATTTCTTTTGAGAGCCAAGCTTTTTAAATTTAAACTATATAGGTAGGTACATTGTTATTAACTTAATTAGGGTGCTCCTAAGCTGGCCTTTGCTAAAAACTCAAGGTGCCGAAGAGCCGCACGTGGCTCACGACCCGCAGTTTGCCGACCACTGCCATGGACCATGACGGCGATAATCCGGCCCACTCACCAGCAGTGCGCATCCCAGCGCGCCCGGCACGCCCAGCCCATTTCTCCCGGCATTTGAAGCATCCTCCTCCCACCCTCCTCTGTGCTTCTCGGTGTCTGTCCTGCTCCCTCCCGTCTTCTTAGTGGCGCCCCTTCCCAGGATGCACCCCGCAGTTCACCCCTCCTCCCCCACACAGCCTCCCGGTCCCGCCGGCTGCAGCCACTGCACAGCTGCCCCGGCCTGTCCCTGCAGCCCCTGCAGCCCCTCTCCTGGGCCCCTCCCAGGTCCTGCCCCCAGGATGCCCCCCAGTGTGACAGCTGGGCCCACCCGTCAGGTCCTGCCTGCAGGTACGGGAGCCGGGAGCCAGCACTTCGGCCTCTGTCCCATCTTTCAGGCTCACTGGCTCCGCCTCCTGTGAGCGTGCAGCTGGGCTGCGGTCAGGGTGGGGATCCCAGTGTGCAGAGCTGGGACCGGGCTTCCCCAGAGGGTGGGTGGGTGTAGACAGAGGAGCCATGAGGGCTGAGCCTCGTGATTTGGGATGCAGGGAGCCTGCGGCCGGGCCCCACACCTGCCCGTCATGAATGCCCGGCTGTCGCTCTCAGATGGGACTGAAAAGCCGATCCTTTTCTGTTTGTACCCTCTGAGGAGCAAAACGAAGTACCCGGGTCATGTGAGTAATCCTACTGGAACCAGAATGTGAACGTCCTTGCATTCTCTCGTCCTGAGGTGCTACAGGCCCAAGCACTGCCGTCTGTGGCCGCCAGGGGGCAGGCGGAGCCCAGCCTGTGACCGAAGGAAGTCAGCCCAGGACCAGAACCCCAGCCCGGCAATGCTGCTCAGCCACGGCTGGCCTGTCCCCACCTCATGCAGCCCCCGGGGACCTCTCCTGCTCGCCCCCTGCCAGGGCTCTGCAACCCAGTGCCCCCCTGGCCTGGCCTCACCCCGAGGTCCAGCCCCCACAGCTCCTCTGCTACACCCACCCAGCCTCCGGGGAAGCCCAGGTCCCAGCTCTGCACACTGGGACCCCCACCCTGACGGCAGCCCCGCAGCCCTTCAGCTGGGATCCCACAGAGGACAGTTACCGGTGTCGTCCTCCGGACCCAGGACACCGGGCGGGCAGTCCACACAGGCCTGGGAGCGCCTCCTACCTGCCTCTGCAGAGCCAGCTCGCCGTCCAGTTCCTGGAGCTTCCTCTCCAGTTGCCACTTGAGCTTCTCGTACTGTTCCCGCTGGCGATCGACCTCCACATTCTTGTCGCTGGCAAGGACAGCAGCAGCAAGAGGAGCCCCGTGAGCAGCGCTCAGAGGACGAAGCCCAGAGCCGTGAGTGTGAGCTGGTACTTTGCTTTGGCAGGGGCGGCTTCAGCAGGGCCCAGGGCAGCACATACACCCATCCGGAGCCTGCACACCACAGGCCTGTGCTGCCTGGGCCTGTGCTTTGACCAGATCCGAAGAGGGACATCTCGGTGTACAGGCTGACGCCGCCCACTGAGCACACTGGCCCAGGCCACAGGGTCCTGTTTACCAGGAGCGGGATGGCCTGATGTCAGCATCTCATTACCGGGAGCGTGATGGAGACGCTGCCTGCTCCAGAGAGGCAGGACCCGGCGGGGTGGGGTGGGTGGCCAGCGCTGTGCCTGTCGGGGAATGGGCCCAACACCCACAGCACAGGCCCGGCACCCATCCCACAGGCCGGCGTGTGAGGGAGGCGCAGGTGCCCCACCTGTGGGCCTGCTCCAGCGCCAGGCGGTGCTCCTGCAGCTTCAGCTGGAGCTGCTGCTGCAGGTCCTCCCGCCTCCGGGCCTCCGCGGCCAGCGCCTGCCGCAGCTTGGCCGCCTCGATCTTGAGCTCACTCGCCTCGGCCTGCCTGGCCTCCTGCAGCCTCTGCGCCTGGGCGAAGGCGGCGTCGTAGCGCTCCAGCTCCCGGTCCCGCTCCTCCAGCAGCTGCAGGTTGTAGACGAAGTCCTCCTGCAGGCGCCGCAGCCACCCCTCGGCCTCCTCCAGCCGGCGCTGCGCGTCCTGCAGCGCCGCCTCCTGCAGCCGGGCGCGCTGGGCCTGCAGCGCACGCCACTCCTCCTCCTTGCGAGCCAGCAGCTCGCTCAGGGCCTGCTCCGAGGGCGGCGGCAGCATGGCGGCAGCTGGAGGGAGGGGGGGGGCGCAGGCTCGTGAGGGAGGCACTGTCCTCACACAGAGCCACCTCAGAGCCGTGGGGAGGCACTGTCCTCACAAAGGAAGCAGCTCGGGGCCCGCTCCCCGCTGACACGGGGCAGTGAGCTCTGCCTGTGAACCCAGCCCCCGGCACAGACAGGTGCTCAGTAAACCCGAAGAAAGAGAAGGGAGGAAGGAAGGGGAGGAGGGGAGCAAGGAAACGCCTCTCAGGATGGGAGCGGATCTGGACCGTGAGCCCCTGGCACGGGGCTGGGCATGGAGCAAAGCCTACTCCCTCCGCCGCCTCCCCCTGAGCCCGGGCCCAGCTCCTCTGCCCCCTCCCTTTGGACCGGGCTCAGGGCCGTCTGCCCCCCGCAGGCCTGTGTCTGCCCGTGAGGGCGCGGTAATGACACCAGGAGGCTTCACCGGAGCCGCTGTGGAGGGGAGAGGCCTCCATCCTCGGAGACCAGCCTGGGCTCACTGGCAGGGGTGAGGGCTGACGGTGAGCAGGCTTTCCCCTGAGAACCCTGCAACACGCCTCCCCGAGGCCGTTCCACAAAACAGGCGGACCTGCCGAAACCGGTGTGGCTCCGTGAATAGAGCCTCGGCCTGCAGACTTAAGGATCCCAGGTTCGATTCCGGTCAAGGGCATGTACCTTGGTTGCGGGCATATCCCCAGTAGGGGGTGTGCAAGAGGCAGCTGGTCAATGTTTCTCTCTCATTGATGTTTCTAACTCTCTCTTCCTCTCTGTGAAAAAATCAATAAAATATATTTAAAAAGAAAAAAAACAGGCAGACCTGAGCAGCTGGGGCAATGGGTGCCCACTGAGGGCCGGAAGCCGGACCAGAGTCCTTTCCCGGTGGCTCCGGGTCGGGGAGGGGGAGCCGGACCAGACACCCAGTGGCTCCGGGTCAGGGGAGGGGCTGGGCGGGTGCCGGCGGGGCGGAGCGGCCGGAGAGGCTAACGGTGCACAGGGGCTGTGTGCTCAGCGCCGTGGGCCCGGCCAGCCTGCGGGGGCCCCGCCGGACCCGCCCGGGCTCTGGGGGCGCAGACGGGGCCGGACCTCAAAGCCCCGAGGTTTTCCACGGAAAGCGGCCGGAAGCGGCGAGTGAGGCCCCGCCCACGCCCACGCCCACGCCCGCGCCCGCGCCCCGCGCCCCGCGCCCCGCGCCCGGACCCCACCAGCCTCCGCTGGTCCCGCCGCGTTGCCATAGCAACTCGAGTCCGTCCCCCGGGTCCGGGCGAGCTCGGTGCAGCGCTTGGGTCCCGCCGGCCAGAAACACAAGCCGGGCTTCTTCCGGTTCCTCCCGCCGGCCACACGCTGTCTGGCGCCCGGGCGTCAAGGGGCGCGGGGGCCCGCCGGCTCCAGCGGCTCAGCCTCGGGAGGAGGCCCGGGCCGCCGCGGGTGTCGGGGAGGGCGGGAGGCGACCGAGGCTTCACCCGCTGAGCTCGGGCGCCGGAAGCGAGCTCCCGAGGGTGGGCTGAGCGGGCGCGGGCGGGGCGCACTGGGCCGGGCTGCCCCGCGGGGCCGGGCTTGTTTGTGAGGATCTGCCCGCTCGGGGGCACGCCCAGCGGGCGCCTTAGTTTGTGGGTTCAGGAAGAAGCGCCCACTTTCGCAGGCCCCGGAGCTGCCGCCGGGCGCCGTCCCAGCGCCTGAGCGTCCGGGGGGCCGGAGGAACGGCCGTCCCAGTGGAGACAGCGGGAGCGCAGTCCTCCCGGCGGGCACCGCGGGCTCCGGGCAGTGATGGGCACAGAGGCTGGGACCTCCTGCCCAGCTCGTGCCGACCCGTCCAGCCCGTCTCTGTGGACCCACCCGGATGGCATGCCCGCCGTCCAGGGCTGGTTCCCAAGCCGGCCCCGCCAGCGCAGGACAAAGGGCCCACCCAGTCAGCCCTAAAATAAGGTGACCAGACGTCCCACTTTTTAACAATTTGTCCCCCGTCCGGTGGTGTTTTTGAAAAGTCCAAAAGGTTTAAAAGAATCTTTCCAAAAATGGGGACTTTTTTAAAAACTCCTTGGGACGAGGGACAAACTGTTAAAAAGTGGGACGTCTGGTCACCTTACCCTAAAAGGCTGCGCCTTCGGAGGCAGCTCCTGGAGAGAGGTCCGGGAGTCCAAGGTCACAGGCAGATGGATGAGCCAGGCAGCATGGGAGGTGGGTGAGGTGACTGTCACGGGAAGACACAGGAAAAAGCTGTGGCCCACGGAGGAGCTGCAGAGGGGCCCTGACCTTTGACTTGCTGAGACAGAGCCTGGGTTCAATCCCAACTACTCGCCTGCTTTGCTATAGCTTTCTGGGACTGGGTTTGCTTCTCGATAAAACAGGGTGGCACCCTCCCTTCCCCATTGCTTTGTGGGTCAAAAACATGTGCTCTATAGGATACTGTTCAGTCCCAGTACAGGGGCCCCATGGTGTGTGTGGACAAAAGGAGCCACATGCTAACCTGACAAGCTCAGTGGAGGCCTGCATGGCAGTCTTGCAAACTCAGAGACCTAAAATAACCACCAAAGATGCTCTGAAAATTCAATATTTAACTACAAACTGATAGATTAAATAGAGAAGGTAGCCGGAGACAGGGATGGCAGGACACACACAGGCTTTATTGAAGGGAAGGGTACCCCTGCCAGCTGCTTCCACGGAAAGAGGGGTGGAAGAGAGCAAGGGCCGGGTACAAGCACCTTAAAGGATAGGGGGCGGGGCTTAGGGCACTCAGCACACGCTGATTGGTGATTAGGGACCTAGGGACTTAGGAATTGGGGAGTTAGGGTGGCCGCAGGTGGGGTTTACGTCTGTCCATCAACTGGAGGAAGGGAGGATCTATCACAAACAGGTTATGGTGGGTAGTCATGTCCTAGGCCGATATTTTCCGTGACAAAGATCAACTTAGATCTTCTTTACTGAGCCCATTTGCCTTTTTGCCTCTAAGATAACATATCTGGCCAAAACAGGTTTGGCTCAGTGGTAGAGCGTCGGTCTTCAGACTGAAAGGTCCCAGGTTCGATTCTGGTCAAGAGCATGTACGTTGGTTGCGGGCACATCCCCAGTAGGGGGTGTGCAAGAGGCAGCTGGTCGATGTTTCTCTCTCATCGACGTTTCTAGCTCTCTCTCTCCCTTCCTCTCTGTAAAAAAATCAATAAAATACATATTAAAAAAAAATAACATATCTGTGCGATATCTGGGTAACTTGTAACTTCCTTTTATTCCCCCAAGACTCCTCAGGACACAACAAATGGCACCAGGACATTCCCTCATTGTGATTGTTATCAAGTTAATCATCAGCTGTTAATTACGTTAAAGTATCCTGTATCCATCCCTGTCCATCATTTCACTTTTCACCCTATCCTAACCCCTTTGCTTTTTCCCACCTCCTTAATCTACCAACAATGAATTTCATGTAATTCACCTACGTCCCTTTCCTTTGATTTCAGTGTATCAATGTAGAAATGTGGCCCGCCATTCTCCGGAGCATTATCTCAATTCATTGGGGTCCTGCTTCCCGGCATATGTCAACAGTTTGGCTCAAATAAACTCACAAAAATTCTTTACAGGTTTCAATGTTTGTTTTTTTCGTTAGCAGTGTGGCTCATCAGCCTATGAACCAGGAGGTCACAGTTCAATTCCCCATCAGGCACATGCCTGGGTTGTGGGCTCAATCCCCAGTGGGACATGTGCAGGAAGCAGCCGATCCATGATTGTTTCTCTCATTGATGTTTCTCCCTCTCCCTTCCTCTCTCAAATCAATAAAAATGTTTTGTTTTGTTTTGTTTTTTAAATACGGCAAAATCCTAACAACTATGAGCACCACAGCTCACCATCTACAGCCCCTAACCCTGACCTGCCCCAAGCCCAGCATGAACCCTGACCCTAGCACTGACCCCAAAGGTGGCCCTGGCACAGCATGGCATCTCTTCCTAACCCTCCCCTCCCCAACTGGTTGTGGCTTCCAGAGTGCCAGAACCAGAAAGGTGCACCTTCTGCTCACCGCTGACCCCACACCTCACAGCCTGCATGTCTGTGAGGCTGTCTCTGGGGGATGGGGGACACAGATGGCTGGGCAAACCGCCCCTGGCAGAGTCCTGGGGGGAAGGGGTTCAGTGAACACAGGTGTGGCCAAGTGAGAGAGTGGTCACGTGAACAGGAGAGTGTGGTCATGTGATCAAAGAGTAGAACTGCGGAGATTACGAATGTGAGCAAAGGGGTGGGCCCACATGAACAGGGAGGTGGGGTCAGTGAGAACAGAGATGCCCCACACACACACACACACACACACGCTGTGGGCCAGACTCTGGATGGCAGCAAGATGGCCCCTGCCCTCAGGGATAAGGGGTGCCCCGGGAACCAGGCAGCAGGCTGGCCCTCAGGGCCCGAGACCAGTAAGGGACTCTGGTGGGGGGAGGACAGCGCCTCGGGAGGGTCGAGGGGTTTGGGGCCCCACACAACTGCCTCCCTGAGATCACAGACCAGAGGCAGCTGTCAGGGTCCCAGGACAGTCCAGTGAGAGATGCCCCAACGGTGGGCACCACGTGGGACACCCGGCCACATGGATCCCCGGGGCTGTCTTGAAGGGGGGCTGGCGCCCACTTTCCATGCCATCCTGCCCGCTGCGTAGAGGGCAGACTGTGAGCAGAAGGTGACTCTGGCTGTTGGGTCTTAGAGCCAGGAGGTCCATCCCTCTATGCGAGGAGGAAACCAGCCCGGCCTGTGTGGCTCAGTGGTTCAGCATCACCCTATGAACCAGGAGGTCACGGATCAATTCCTGGTCAGGACATATGCCAGGTTGTGGGCTCGATCCCCAGTGTGGGATGTACAGGAGCCATCTGGTCAATGTTTCTATCTCTTCCTCTCCCTTCCTCTCTGAAATCAATAAAAATATATTTAAGCCCTAACCAGTGTGGTTCAGTGGATAGAGCGTCATCAGCCTGCGGACTGAAGGGTCCCACGTTCGATTCCGGTCAAGGGCAAGTACCTTGGTTGCGGGCACATCCCCAGTAGGGGGCGTGCAGGAGGCGGCTGATGGATGTTTCTCTCTCACCAATGTTTCTAATTCTCTATCCCTCTCCCTTCCTCTCTGTAAAAATCAATAAAATACATTTAAAAAATATATATATATTTAATTAAAAAGGGAGGGGGAAGAACCAAGGGGAAACCAAGAGCCTGCGTGGCCCTGGGCGCCCCGCCTCCCCCGCCCCATGGCCGGCTGGGCGTGGTGGTGCTGACTCACGGGAAGGGGCTGCGGTGGGCACAGGAAGGTTGAGCAAAGCCTCGCCCGCTGGGGGTGGCGAGAGGTTCCTCAAAAAGCCGGACGGGGAAGGACTGTGTGGCCAGGCGGCCCGCCGGCTTTGTGCCCAGGAGAAAGGAGAGCAGGTCCACAGAGACTCTTGGTTTGTGTTGTTCTTGACGGCAAAAAGGTGAGAGTGGCCCTGGCCGGTGCGGCTTGGTTGGTTGGGGATCCCATGCACCGAGAGGTCACGAGTTCAATTCCCAGTCACTGCCCTGGTTGGTTCCGGGCTCTGTCCCCTGTTGGGGGCGTGGAGGAGGCAGCCAATGGATGGCCCACTCTCTCATCAATGTTTCTCTTTCTCTCCCTCTCCCTCTCCCTTCCCCCCGCTAAGAAAATGAAAAGTGCTCTAGCTGGTTTGCCTCAGTGGATCAG